AGCTTTACTTGAAATAACTATTGACTGTACTGAACTCTATTACAGAACTTGGGCTTTTACTATGGAGAACAAATATTTCCAGCTTTGCTCAAAATCTATTTTAAATGGTAAAAATACTGCAAGATCTTTGTAGAGCCACCTTTTCATTAGTACAGGCTGAAGATGTATCACAATAAATTTAAAAGCACAAGTAGCACATTAAATATTCTAGTAATAAGCATAAGACCAAAAACTAACCTTAATTGCAGCTTCTCTTAAGGCTTCAAGTCTCTGTCTACTGCTTTCTTTCATATTGACAACATCTTTGTAATCACCTTGCAGAGCTCTCTGGAGGCCATGGATTGCTTGAAAGACCGAGTTTTCACTTTCATTTAGCTCCTTTTGGAAAATTTCAAAGGTGTGCACCTGAAAGAGCTTCTCTTCATCCGACAGGCCTGCATCCTTCTCCACTGCTCTTATAGCATTCTTGAGTTTGTTGAGCACAACGTTCTTCTGCCGAAGGAGGCCAGAGAGTTTTCTGCAGCTCTCCAACACCCACTGCTTTCTCTGGGTGACAACGGCTCCTTTCCCGCGGTGCAGCTTGATCGCGTGCTTTACCACGTCTTCGCGTTCTGCAGGATTCGCTGAGTGGCCACAGAGCAGCGAACTCAGCGTCCACAGGAAAACAAAGCCAATTGCCTGCATGCTTCAGTTTTTATTGCTGCTGCTAGAAACTGACAAGCCGGAACAGCTCAAAGCTTCCTGCTACATGGCTTCTGCGACGCCGGGGCCCGTCCCATGCTGCAAGACAGCACCAATGAGTTATCAACAAGATGATGTTCAGCCATTCAATGAGGCGAATTAGAAGGCAAGCTGAAGACTGCATTCTGCACTGTGGCCTTTAGGAGAAAACGCGTGCCCTCCTTCAGCAAACAGCCGAAGACAACAAATAGTCCAAGATTAGTGATAGATTTTTGTTCTCCCCTGGCCATCTATTTTCTAAAGATCACCTTGCTTTAAGGTGCACAATAATTGGAAAGCTTAATTATATCACACAAGTAGTCATTTGTTACTTTTTTGCATGACAGAAAAGTCATTAAACTGTGATACCACAGATTATGCTTCAATACATACAAGTTACTCTTTTTATACATATTAGTGAATCTCTTGTCATTTCTGAAATCTATCTAAAAGATAAAAAAGTGTCAAATTCATTAGCTGCTTATATAGTCTCAGAAGAAACTATAAACATTAATGGAAAAAAAAATCTTAACTGAAGGGGATTACATTGTTTTCTACATAGAATTGTTCATTTCATGGAAGAAAAAGCAAAGCTTCCTGACTTCTAAGCTCTATTTCTTTGAATCAAAGATCTAGATCTGCAAGGGTGCATGGACTTGAAACACTTTAATGCTACTTACTGATCTGTATGAACTTAAAATAGATTTAAAAGAAATAGACTTAAAAGTAATTCAATATCATATATATGCTGTTTTCCCAGAAGCTTAAAAAAATAAAACTACATTTGCTTTAAAAAAAAATAAACCTAGAAGAACGGAATTTCAAACTCTCCCTCCCTCCAAATCCAGAAAAGGCTAATTTTTAAAGGCTATTTTATAATAATAAATACATTTTCTAAAAAAAAAAACAAAGCTATATATGGCAAAACATCTATTTAGTACTGGAGTATGCCACTCCTGAACTGCATAATATGCACTATATTTTTGCAAATCATCAATGGCCTAAAACTTGAGCTGCAGTCCTGATCTCTGGGCCAACAGTCCCAAACAGGAACCAGGGTGCAGGACATGCAGTACCTGGAAGTAGTTACCTAAGAGAGATTCTTAGTCCCAACGCAGCATCAGCTGCAGCAAGAAGCATCAGTGTCACCCTCCTCTATTAAGGGAAGGTGGCAGGCACCACTGTGCACTTCTTTTGCCTTTAAAATATCCTATATCCATAGGGCACAGTGCAAACATATTTGTGCAGCATGATGAAAGGTTACTTTATTTGTTTGAAGAAAGTCAACACATTTAGCTATTACTAAGTAGGCTAGAACTTAGTAACATGAAAAGCCAAAACATCTAAAATTAAGAACTAGAGACCTAATTAAAGTAGCAAAAGCAGGCCTACATCACTCTAATTGTACTCAAGTAATAGGACAGAAATATTTCGGAATGCTGATAGGTTTCACTCTTTAAGAGATCAGAAAATGTTAATAACAATCTCCATCACCCGGGGGGGGCGGGGAGGTGATGTCTAAGCAAGTATTTCTTCACAAATACACATTGACGCTCTCCCTGATGAGCAGCCCCCGACGCTC